AAAGAATATTAATTTTCTTATAGAAGATTCTGTAATAGAGCAATTACGTCAAGTAAGAAAATTTACATCCGGTAAGGTTTTATTATATGAAAAAAAAAAACCCCCCCCATTTCTTATTTGTCAAGAATACTACTTAACACTAAGCAATGGGTTTGAAAAGAAAATTCTATGAGTCTTGATGATGGTGGAATAAAATATAAAGTTTCGGATTATTATTATTGGAGGCGGAATCTCTCGCGAATAATTTGAGATTCATTGAGAATGCAATAGGGCAAGCCACTTGTAATTCTTTTCCATTGCTTCTGCCTCCAGCCAACCAACCCCCCTTTGATACTCGAATCGGCGCGTCTTTTTTTGTCCCGCCATTTGTTCGAAATAGCCTGGCAAGAAAAGAAAAGCGAAGCACACCGCATAGTGAAGTTAACTTCGCATTTAACATCTGCCTGGAAGGTTAAAATTTCCCTCGAGGTTTACTCTAAGTTGAAGCTGGATATCTTTTGTCTGCCGATTCGAAGGAGAAAATCAGGAGGGTTTTATCTTTGTGCGCGGTAGACTCCTCTACCCACGTTTCTACTCTTCGTTTCCTTTTTTTTTTTTTTTTTTTGGTGGTGGTATTTATTTTTTTCCCCCCTCCTTCGTAGACTCTAAAGAGTATATAGTACCTCTTTTTCTTGTATACCATTAATTATTTACCGCAAAGGAGATATCAAATCGGATTTGCTTGTACCTTAATCCGCATCATCAAGAATACACCTTTATCAGTGACTGTATCTTTTCACCTAAAACGGGCGCCCGCATCATTTTTGTTGCTCTTGCGAAAACAGTATCTTCAGTCGTTTATCAAAAAAAAAAAAAAAATAATAATAATTAAAAATTAATTATAAAAACGAACATATAAGAATTGATTTTCAGCAACCGGGGACAAAAAAAGAAATCCATTAATGTAATCGAATCATGATTTTCTAAAGCACATATTTTATAATTCAATCGAGCAGATTGAATCAATGAATTTTTTCTCAGCGTAGAAACGTTATAATACGTTATTCATGAGAAACGTGAGAAACAGTAAAATCCAAGAGAATGTCTTGAAATTTGCAGGATGCTCGAAATGCGCGTACCCTTTTATAAAATGTTTGCAGTTGATGCTTTTACAGTTATCCCACTTTCATGACCTTCTTCAAAAATTTATCAGATTACAAGTACATTTTAACAATCAGTTAACATGATTAATATATCATGATATACAAATTAAAAAATAAATTCACAATTATTTTTTTTTTTAATTCAAATTAAAAATTTTCTTTTTCATAATTTCTCGAAACGAAATTACCATCACTATATTTCCAATATCAAATTTCACTTATCGTGAAAATATAAACGAAAAAAAAACGGGACCAATTTACTCGAGTGTCATTGATATATACTACGGAATGAAAATTTACCACCCAAAGAGAGAAAAAAAAAAGAAAAAAGTGAATTATGCGATCCAACTTATTGGCAAACGGTTATATAAAACTTGCGCGGTGATTTTTCGACTTCTTCACGAATAAGAATATATTGAAATCATAACGGCGCGTTCATGAATATTATTCAGGTCTTAAAGCAATATAATCCTAAATCGATAGAGCGATGGGGAATAAATTTTTGTCCCCCGTTTACTGGAATCTTCTTCATAGACTTAAAGATCTGATGAAGAAGAAAATAAAAAGTATTTTGGTAATTTTGGTTTTTTTTGATAGATTCAAAAAGAAGAATTAATAAATATGATAAATGGATTTGTAATGAAATACTGACAAGTAGCTGAGAATTTAGTATAGAGAAAATAAATGTTCAAACCACTGAAATGTACACACAAATTCAATGTCGAAAGTATCTAATAAATCAGAGAAAATTATTGACTCGAATCGCGTGAAACTGGTCACGAGCAAAATTGTCAGATCGTGAGCGAGCTTCTTGCTCTTTAACTGCTGACTGTGTGCAAGTTACCAAGATCATTGCTGCGACTCACTACTGATCTCAGAGAATTAGCGTCTTCTCGATTGTTCTTTGATTAGTTCCATTTAGTCTCACTAACCACGCGTGATTACAGAGTAATAAACTGCGGTCAAAAGTAATTGCAAAACGTATTTCCTTCAACTCTCTATCTTCTTTCTTCACATTCCATATTCATATGACGAGTGTTTCTTTAAAAAGATCACAAAAAAAAAAAATCCATTCTTTTTCAACTTCTCAATGTTCAAATTGTAAAATTTAAACAAACCGAAAATTTAAGCAATTATTGACTAATTTGTGGCCGCCTTTTTTTTAATACAAAATAAAAAATTTTCTTTTTCCATGTGAAAGTGGAAAATTGATATATAATATATTGACTAATAAAATGAAAAAATAAGTATAATTATAAAAATTTATGAGAAGTAACCGCATGGCTCCTCCTTTGCAGGGTTTCGTGTCCTGCTAAGGTAACGTTTACTACCGTGGTAAAGGTTACTATAGAAACAGTTGCTATGGAAACGGTTACTATGGAAACAGTTGCTATGGAAACGGTTGTCATGGAAACGATTGTTATGGAAATGGTTACTATGGAAACGGTTGTCATGGAAACAATTGTTATGGTAATGGTTACTATGGAAACAGTTGCTATGGAAACGATTGTCATGGAAACGATTGTTATGATAATGGTTACTATGGAAACAGTTGCTATGGAAACGGTTGTCATGGAAACAATTGTTATGGTAATGATTACTATGGAAACAGTTGCTATGGAAACGGTTGCCATGGAAACGGTTGCTATGGAAACGGTTGCTATGGAAACGGTTGTCATGGAAACGATTGTTATGGTAATGGTTACTATGGAAACAGTTGCTATGGATACGGTTGTCATGGAAACGATTGTTATGGTAATGGTTACTATGGAAACAGTTGCTATGGAAACGATTGTCATGGAAACGATTGCTATGATAACGGTTATCATGGAAACGATTGTTATGGTAATGGTTACTATGGAAACAGTTGCTATGGAAACGGTTGTCATGGAAACAATTGTTATGGTAATGATTACTATGGAAACGGTTGCCATGGAAACGGTTGCTATGGTAACGGTTGTCATGGAAACGATTGTTATGGTAATGGTTCCTATGGAAACAGTTGCTATGGAAACGGTTGTCATGGAAACGATTGTTATGGTAATGGTTACTATGGAAACAGTTGCTATGGAAACGATTGTCATGGAAACGGTTGCTATGATAACGGTTGTCATGGAAACGATTGTTATGGTAATGATTACTATGGAAACAGTTGCTATGGAAACGGTTGTCATGGAAACGGTTGCTATGGTAACGGTTGTCATGGAAATGGTTGCTATGGTAACTGTTACCATGGCAATAGTATGAGTGTACAATTATTATTACTGAATGAAAAAAACCACATAAATATTTTGCTTCGAAATTGTAAAAATCAAAGACCGCCTGTACTTAAAATACTACAACGTGTGGGATGACAAAACATGAATTAGAAATGATTCTGAAACGAGTCTCAAAGATCGTATATATATATAAATGAAGAAAATCGTTTGCAACGATAAACAAATTACTCTCATTTGTTGATGGGGGCATAACATCCGGCAAGTTGTCAGGAATAATGACTATTTTCTGTGATTAGTTGCAATTAAGGAAGCGACAGTTCTAAATTATTCAACCTACTTTTAATTAGTTCTATCAGAAATTTATTGCAAGATTAGATAGACGGGTATAAAATAAAGAAAAAAAAAAGAGAAATAGAGTTGATTGGCGGATTTTTAAATCTCATTACGTCATTTTATATCGGATTGTAAGAAACGTTGTGGAACCGGGTTTTGATAAAAGTATCAAGTCCGCTCGATACGAATTGATTTTGTTTTTTTTTTTTTTTTTTTGTTTTGTTTTTCAATTCTAAATCACGAGATGCACGCGAGCTTTTAACCTGAAACACGCGAGACATATATACATATGAACTCACATCACAAAACTGTCGTAATACATTTGCATTACGTTGAACGCGACAAACATGTTTCGCTTATATTATATATATATATATATATATATATATATATATAGCGTGCACGACTTCTTTGCTCGATTTGCAAATTAGACTCGGTAGTAAGAATATCATTGACGAATTAACCTATTCTTTGACTTTAATTGCTTCTCAAAAGAAATTAATTTTAACTATTGCCCTGTGAAAAAAAAATTATTTGATAAAAAATAATCCAACAATTATCAAATAAATATTTCCTTGAAATAATTTTTAATTAAATTTTTTACAAATATAGAAATTGTTGATTTAAATCACAGTTTATTTGATTTAAATAATTAATTATTTCATACAAATTTATTTAATAGTAGTCAAGTGAGTGATTATTTGTATCAAATAGATTTTTTTGATATTGTCTTCAAAAATTGTGATTGGAAAAATTCTTTCCTAATTTTTGAAATAATGAATAACTATAATAAAGCATATTAATTAGAATTACAAAAATTCATTTCTGCAGTATTTTAATTAAATTCTTCACTGCAAAATTTTATAATCCATAGACAAAAACTAGTTTCATCATTTTTCAAACTTGTTCGGAAATGTCTTCTTCTTTCTTATATATCATTTTTAAAGATTAATCGAGTCTTGACAAAAAAAAAGGAGTCTTGATTATAGAGGAATAATAGAGGAATCTTTTACAATTATAGGAGACAGAGAGAGAGAGAGTAGAGACTCGAACAGGAAAGAAATAAAGAAAGGAAAATTGAATATAAGAACGGAAAGAAGATAAAAAGCAATAGAAGAAATGAAAGAACAATTCAGAATAATAGACATAATAAATGACAATTCTATATTTTTCGTAAAGAGGATGTGCGTGTCTTATAAATAGAAATTAGAAATACAAGTTTCTTTATCTGATGATTTTCAATATCCTGCTTGAAATGAGAATTCAAATGTATAATTGCTTTCTTTATTTTTTTTGTTTTCTTTAGGTCTGCAAACTACGTAAACGCGACGAAAGAGTGCGAACTCTCGGACATGGATAGATTAACAGTGGCCGGATCTGGTGCATTAGAAGCGGCAAAAGGAGTGGATTACTTGGAAAATCATTGCGTGAACGAACCAACAAAGTTGTGTGATTTCAAGAAAATTACAGGTCGCATTCTTAAGACAGTTGACTCGGTCTATCAAGACGTTGCAAACATTGATGAGTGTCGTGATCTTTGTTTAAGTTCACCATTCCGTTGTCACTCGTATGATTATGGTGATACTGGTGATATGGTGTGCCGTCTCAGTCATCATTCAAGAGCAACACTCTCCGACATTCAGGTTTGTATATCCGGAAACAAAAATTCTCTCTCTTATCTCTCTTTCTTTTTTTTTCTTTCTTTCTATCTCTATCTTTCCCATAACTTCCCTCTTGATTGTATACGTTCTTATAAAGATTCTTCGTTCTGATTTTAAAATGGGTCTTCATAACTTCCGCGATTTCAGTAAAGTCAACTATTAAAAGTGCATCACATCATCCATAATTCACGTCTTGATCCGTGCTCTATATATAGATTACTTTTATGCAAAACTCTGTTATAACTTCATCGATAATATAATGATTTGCTAGTTGGAAAATGCCATAGCGTTATTTACCGAATCATATATAATTCCATCGGATAACATTTTCGAATTAATAATTAATTATAACGAAAGCATTTACTCAAGTTTGTTATATAGTTAAAATATTAATCATTTTCTTGTCTCAGAATGGAAAATTTAAGAAGATAATAACATGATGATAATTTTGCATGACAAATTTAATAAGAATGTTATGAAAAATAAAATGAATTGAAAGAAAATTAAGTGATTATTAGGCCGAAAAAGGAATTAAATTAAATAAAAATTAAACCAAATAAAGATTAGGTTACATAAGAATTAGTGTTATTGTGCCAAATAAGAACTAGAATAAATAAAGATTAAGCCAAATAAGAATTAGGTTAAGTAAAAATTAGGACAAATTAAAACTAGGTTAGAAAAATATTAAGCCAAATAATAATCAGGTGTAGTAAAATTAAATATTAGGCCAAATAATAATTTATGTAAGGATTAGGATACATGAGAATTATATTAAATACAGATTAGAGTAAATAATAATTAGGCCAAATAAGATCAAGAATAAATAAAGATAAAGCCAAATAAGAATTACGTTTAGTAAAACTAAATATTAGGCCAAATATAAATTTGCGGAAGGATAAGGCTACACGAGAATTAGGCTAAATAATAATTAGACCAAAAATAAAGAAAAAAAAACAAAGACAAACAAAAAACAAGAAAAAATAAAAATTAAGCCAAAGAAGAATTAGGTTTAGTAAAACTAAATATTAGGCCACATTAGAAATTGCGCGATAAATAAATATATGAGAATTAGATTACATTGAACTAAAAATTAAACCATATTGCAAATCATTTACGAATAATGTAAAAAAAAGTAAAATAAAAAAATGAAATAAAAAAGTAAAAAAAAAAATGTAAAATAAAATCCTAATTTCAAAATAATCGTTTTCTTGTTATAATCTCAAAATTGATGGAATACATAAAGCAATTAGTGCGTTTATGTTTATCTAAACGTGAAATTAGTTTGGCCAAAATTTGTCACAACTATGAATGGTGATAAATTTGATTATTATTGTATATATATATATAGTCATGACGTGAAAGTAGATTAAAATTTAAGTGCATTGAAAGTGCATTGCGTTTAAAGTGGCATTTTCGGTCCGAAATCGAGTTTCTATTGCACACGTTTTCCGTATCACACATACCCTCTGTATAAGAGCACACAGTTCGAACATTCGCTTAGGGGTCCTTCGCTGGGTGGAAAAAAACAAAAGAAAAAATCTTGTTCTCGCCAACCTGTTGAAACTTCATTGTCGCTTATAGTTTTTCAGAGAGGGATTTCGTATATATATATATATATATATATATATATATATATATATATATATATATATATATATATATATATATATATATATATATATATAACAAAAGAAGATAATGAAGGAACCACATACATGTATACATAAAAGTGGAATAAAGACAATAGAACGTATGATTTATAATCTGCTTGAACAATGATGAAAAAAATATTCTTTAATCTTTCTTTTAGTAAAATTGTAGCAAAATCTCTATTTGCATTTGATATAATATTAACCTTTTTCACGCTCAGGAAAAACTGTGGAGATTTAAGAAAAGAAAACTGTAATTACAGTTTTTTACGATCTCTGATTACGAATATGAGGTTTTCAAAAATTCAAAATGGCGGATCCAATATGGTGATCGGAAGTTTGAAAATATGATAGAAGCAGGCGCATGGCGCTTCCATCGCAGGGTTTCGTGGACAATATTAATATTACCGTTGTTAATGAAAAAAATCCTTAGCAACGGTTGCCATGGTAACGCTTGCTATGGTAACTGTTACCATGGCAACCAAACTAGTGTACGACGGACGCCAAACTGAAACTATAAGGCTTTCTGGCCTAGGCGACGAAACCCTAAAAATCGTTTGGTTTTACTTGAAATTTGTTTCTTGGGGGTTTTCAGGGTACAAATCTATTTGTAACTGGTGACAACGTGAATCCCCGAGTAATAAGTTTCAAGTGAATTGGATCAATTGAAAATTTTTTTGTTTGTGTGGCCTTATGAATTTTGAAAAACCAACATCAGATTCGTAATCAGCAATTTTAAATTAAATCTCTTTTCTTCTTCTTCTTCTTCTTCTTCTTAAATAAATTAGTGAGCTTTGAGGGCTTTAGTTTAATTAACAATTTGTGTTTGATAACGTTTCAGGAACCCTATCTAGACGTGCCAGAGGCATCAACGTACGAGTTGAGTTCTTGCTACAACGTGACAATCGACTGTCTAGCTGGAGATATGGTGACAAGGATACAGACGAGCAAGCTGTTTAATGGCAAGGTATACGCGAAGGGTTCACCCAACTCGTGCGTGAAGGACGTAAAGGGAGTACTGGAATTCGAACTACGAATGTCTTATAGCGATCTTGAATGCAATGTAAAGCAGCAGGGTTTGGGTCGATATCTTAACGATGTGGTTATTCAACATCATGACACTATTATCACGAGGTCGGATCTGGGTTTAGCTGTTACTTGCCAATATGACTTGAGCAATAAAACAGTTTCAAATGAGGTGGATTTAGGTGTTCATGGCGATGTTACACCATCATTGTTTGAGGAGGTTGTTGTTGATTCACCAAATGTTGCAATGAAAATTACCGATCGCAGCGGAAAAGATGGAGTGCCATCGGCTGAAGTTGGTGACCCTTTAGCGCTCAAATTTGAAATTCTTGATCCAAACAGTCCATATGAAATATTTGTACGTGAATTGGTTGCATTGGATGGCGTTGATTCAAGTGAAATTGTTCTCATTGATTATCGTGGCTGTCCAACGGATCAAGTGATTATGGGACCACTTTATAAATCTACCAACACTGGCAAGGTAAGGATATATTATATTTATCTCTTTCTATTTTCAATTATGGAATTTTAATGGGGTAGAGCGTTAAATGAGAAAATAGATGATTCTGCGCTATAACTTTGAATGGTTTATCATAAATGGTGATTGCAACTATTAGCAGTCTAAGCAGGCAATTAAGAAATAGAGGGTGCTTCCGAGCTAAACGGATAACCCATTTATCATCTTTGTGGACAATCATCCACGTGAATGTTTATAGCTCATGTATGGAAGATGCGGCGTATTATCCCATCAGTGTCGTGGCATTTTAATCTGATAGTTTCAATCTGAAATTATTTAAAAGACCTCACACTGACATTAATTACAATTATTTGCCCTCAAGTAATTACGCTTTCATCATTGTAGGAGAGGGGTTCGCTGTGGGCGATATGAATTTAATATTGGGTTATATTTCGTGTTGGCAATATTTAATAATTGAATGCGTGACTTGGTGATAGCACCTCGAGCGACGGTATAACACGATAGATGTCGATAGCACCTGACACGTGCGCGAAGGCAACGTTGTATGGTACTTAACGGAAAAAAAATGTGAGTTAACGATTGGCCGTCTCATGCTAATCAATCATGTTGGCGGATTTTATGGTAGTGGTGCTATAGAAGAAGTCTAGTAATTTACTCTGCGTAACAGGTCGAACGACGACGACAACGCAATGCGCTCCTTCCTCTTCATGATGATACATGATGACAGGACTCGATAATTATTATAGAAATTATTCACATACCAAAAGAAAAGAAAAAGAACAAATCGCTATACTTATTCTTGTTATTTGCCTCCTGGTAATATTTAATCAATTTCTCAATTATAGTTATTATAAATAATTGTTTAAAAAAGAACAATTATAATTCAATCAACAATAATAATACATGAGTCATTGATAATAGTAATTTATTATTAAATATGGAATTTTTGTTTAAAATTCTATTTCATTTAAGATTAACCTATTTTTGTGATGAGAAAAAAATTTTACACTGAACGACGACGATAACTGCGTTCATTTTTTTTTTTTTTGCGCTAGGGTATTTTCTCTGTCAATACAATCATAAATGTCACGAGAGAGAGTTTCTCAACAAGAGCCACCGAACCGAAAGAAGGAAGTATTAATCCGAGTTATTAGATTTTTCCCCGCTAATGTGGAAAATTGGACTTTCCACTTGAGAAGCCGAGTGTATGTAAGTTATTGGATTAGAAATATTGGATATTAAGAAAAAAAAAATAAACGTATTTGTAAATAACCAAAGTGGATAATTTGCACAGCTTTATAGAGTGTCAGGCAAAACAAAGATGGGCACCGCCTCGTTAACCGCCTCGCGACTCTTCCACGTTTATTTTGCCCCCACGAAGTACACGCTTTATTAGAATGTAATAACAGTTCTGATGGGATAAACAAAGGACGAATTAAAGTGAAGATTACGTATAAATTCAACCGCGTATTTCCTGTAGATTTTGTCGATTGAAGGGTATAAAAGAGAAACGAAGAATAAAGAGACAGAAAATAAGGGGTCTCGACTAAACTCACGTTCTTTTGAACTGACATTTTAACAAGAAGAATTCTTCGTGTACCGCCTTAAGGAAATTAGAATTCGAGAAGAATGGAGATGCAATCCACATTTTCCTATATATCTCTCTCTATTTCTGGGCGAGTTGCACTTGATAAAATGTCTCGAGGTCGAGTGATATACTGCAACGGTACAATGAAGGGAGGCACAATATCGCTTCATTAACAAGTAATACCATAGACACACAAGTACGTGGTAAACCTAACATCGTCGATCTGGTTAGTTTGTTGTGCGGAAGAGCATATGTATATAGAGAAGGTGTATTCGTTCTCAAGACGGTGAACGAACGACGCGTTTAATTAACACCTCGGCACCGACTCACGCGTACTCTGTAATTACCACGCTGCAGTATTCAGCAGTACCGTTTGGAATAAGAGAATGCGCGCCTTACTACAGTTTTATCTTTCAGTAATTGCATTTTCTGTAATTGCCAAGTGTAACTTTTAACAAACGATGACGAAATCCAATAACAGTTCATTGCACAATGAAAAGCCCTTATTTTCATTTGCCTTTATTCCAATTTCCCTCAAATAATTACTGTCTCCAATTTCCTTTAATTTTCGAAAAAGGAAAACGCATCTCGCATTTATAGACTCCACAAAGACTTATTTTCGTTGAGAGTTGAAAATGAAATGAAAACAAAGAGGTTATTTTCTTGTTGTGCGGTATAAAACGTCGAGCGGCCTTAGTGTGTTATATGACTATAGGAAGCTGCGCTTGTCGATCGCGGCCTCAATGAAATACGCGCGAGTGCACGACGGAAACATAAATTCGCAAGGGCGTTTACCAAGCGGCTTTGGAGAGGTATCGACTTCCTGCTGGTGCGGGAAAAAGTTGATTTTATTAAGCGGGAAGAAAAACGAGTCTCTCTCTCTCTCTTTTTTTTCTAACGGGCTCTCTTCTAGGCAGGAATTTACCCAAAAGACATGAACCGTATGTTCGTCACGTATTGCACACGCCGGAGGGCAACGTTTCACGACTATATAGTATATAGTAGACCGGTTTTTGAATGAAATTGGAAACATTTCTCAAAGACGCGTGCTACCATGTGACTTTTTTTTTAAAAAAAAACCGGACTGCAGTAAAATATCAAGAATATATAATCCCAAACATTTATCTCGGGTAGAAAATTAAGGCATATGTCATCATCTTTTTTTTTTTTTGGGTAATTTTTTCCCTCTTTATAATAACTCGTTGGGGGAAAAAAAGACGCTTTGACAGTATAAACTGAAACTATTAAGATGATGAAGAAACGTTTCGAATTGGCACGCGAAATGCGCCCTACTGAATATACTTTCTTGATCCGCATTCTACTCTTCTTGGGCAATTATTCCCGACTTCAACGAAGTTCCTCTTTTCAATAAGATAAAAGGTACATGAAAAGAAGGTTTCACCTATAAACCAGGTATACAATAATACAGATGAAATCATAGTTTTTTTCGTGCACGCATCTAAATTTCAATGCCGTGCAGTGAAATATATTGTGGCGCCACCGTGTTAACCAGTAAACGTCATGGAACATTAAGGTGCCGTCCTAGCATCAATATTTTCTCTGCAACTGTGTTTTACGGTGACTTCACGATGATTGTAGGTGAAACCTTCTTTCAGTGTATTAGCAAAAAAAAAAACAGACTACAATCAAAATGACTGGTTCGTGTCTAGTGCAGATTCGTTGCGACACATGACTTTACGAGCAGACACGAATCATTATAGTTACAGCGCTTTTTCCTATATGCAGAGTTCGCTACCAGAATTCTCCAAATAAAAATAACGTTGTAATTATTTCTTTGTTACAGATTTTGCTCTCACACTTTGATGCTTTCAAATTCCCAAGTTCAGAAGTTGTGCAATTCCGCGCATTGGTCACACCCTGTATGCCAACATGTGAGCCAGTTCAATGTGATGTTGAGGAATCAACTGGAGATGTACGATCGGTAATATCATTTGGTCGCCGTCGTCGTAGACGATCAACATCATCGCAATCACGTGAAGATCTTCTCCTCGTGCAATCAATTCAAATCACTGATAAATTTGGATTTGAACGTGACGGTAAACCAATAAACATGAATTCAACGCGTGACAGCAATTTCATTGAAAGTGAAGATATTTCAAGTGGCTTCATGGGAAGTTGCATTAATTTGGGTGAAGCAATTGTGGCAGGTACTGTCTTCCTAGTCGCTCAAATTGCCATTATTGCAGCATGGACATTCACATGGCAACGTCGGCGGCAAATTTTAAAACATCAGGAGGCACTCTCCGTTTCTGTTTCTGTACCCGGTATGCATTCAGGTCGTGCCGATAGTCTCTGCAAATTATACGACGCTGGCTATTCGCGACGCTTTTAAATACAGAAAATAAAAAATAGGGATCCTGAAAATCTCGCTTTTTCCTGTCAAAAAAAAAAAGGGAGAACTTTTCCGCGTAATCGACCAGTAAACGCTTCAAGTCAATCTTTTTTAATTTCTTCGCTAGATTAAAGCTCAATTCTATATATAATGTTTCTTCACTGGACGATTTGCGATAATTTTCCTTTGGCAGGAAGAAAGGTGCTTTTTTTTAAGATAAAAATTGCGGACTCATATCTATTTTAACTTGGCCATGGCGAATATACTGCTTTTGATCCGTTCCATCAACGGGAATTCTTACGCTCTCTTCTGTGTACCTTTTTAAGTGTGACTGGTTATTTCTCTAAAAATTGATCTTTTATAAAAAAAAAAATGGGGAGGGGAGAAAAATTGAGCATCGTGCCAAACGTAATTTATCTTTCTTTCTCAAAAAAAAAAAAAAACTTTATGTATGTGTGTTAAAGCGACACTTGGATTTTACAAGTCGAATTCAAAGTGAAAAAAAAGAAGTTCCCTTCTCTCAATAAATTACTTGGAATCCGCTTAGAATTGTGGTCTCGTGCGAAGCGAGAGATGGCGGAGAAAAGAGTTTTTCGGACTTGCCAGGAGAGGCGTGGCACACGGCAACAGAGGTGATGGAGGTCGACATGTATTTGCTACGTAGCGCGGATTCTAATTAGCATTGGGAATCAAGCGTGATTATGCAGATGCTCCAAGTGGGATATCAGGACCACGACGTGGCATTGGGGGTTCAGTTTCGGGGGATGCCTTGGCACCAAAGGGGTTGGCAGAAGGTTAATTACCTCTTGTGGTGCCTCTCTCACTCTCTCTATCTCTATCTCTCTCTCTCTTGGTTCTATATAAGCTTGGCGAACCCCGGGATTTGATGGGGTAACTGCTTGAAGGGGTGGAGGGGGTTACTGTTGGCTCACATCGACGATAGTTATCTCACCATACGGTTCGCGTAACCTCGGATCCCCTTCTACTTAACCTTAGCCACGTCTCCGTCCTCCATACTATGGGCATGTTAATTTACATTGCGGCACGTGACCTTATCAATCTGAACCAGCGTTCTCGCGTGGGTACTATATAAGGTGCATCTCAAAAAAAAGAGTATAAAAGCCATGCAAAATTTTATAGCCATACACTTTCGAGGTCAAATCATTTATCAAATTTTTTTTTTTTTTTCTCTAATATATCAAAAATTCTAATCGAAGAGCACGCAAACAAATTTTTTTTTTTTTATTCAACATATTAAATTAGTTATATTCTTTCTTTAGTTCTCTCACTCTTTCACCAATGAATCCTATTTTCGATGATAAAGTAAATCAGATTAAGTACTAGATTTCTTGCTTGAAATGTTTTTGGTCAAATAACAGTTTTGATAATAACAGCCGTTTTATTAGTTATTGTGAAATTCTATTAGAAGAAGAAGAAAAAAAAACCTTATTTAGCAGTGATGATCTATATTCTTACATGCAATTTTCGATTTTTATTTTGTGAGAAGAAAATCGTTGTTTTAATTAAATGAAAAAAAAGGAGTTTCTTGTGAAAGAGAGAGAAAACACTATACGACTGATTTGTTATAATGGGACTAAATTGGGTTTTAATTGGGATGACGTTCGTTTTAGAACTGGTAACGAGTGCGCAGCAGTTTTTTTTTTACGGAAAAAAAAGTAATCTAGGATTCGAATAGAGTGCCTACCGACGTATTTAGTAAATTAGGTTAGAAGTACGGGTTACGTGCAATTTTAGATAAATGAAATTCAATTAGGCATATACATTGGGGGACTCTAGATTTCAGAAAAAAAAAACAAAAAAATTTTTAATTTTTGTGAAATCGAATCAAATATTAATTTAGAAAATGAACTCGTCAAGACAATTTTGATATTTTGTATTTCTGAATACTTCGTTTGTCTTGCGGGGTTTGTAATAGTTTATTATTTTTTTTTTTTTAGTGTTTGATGTTTAAAAAAAAAAATATTTCATCGTCAACACAGTATTAAGTATTAACATTGACGCTAATTTTTAAATATCCGGTGAGCGTAGTATTTTATTAATATAAATAATAATAATAATAATAATTTTTGTAGCGCGATTGAGAGTATATAACTCGAAAATTGTCGCAGGAACGCTGGGGCAGAAAATATAATTAAAAACAATTTGTGCTCTCTTCCGCCCTCGTAGTTACGTTCCAACGTGTCAACACAAAAGGTGCCTACGTACTACATATTAGTAAGTGACTGCATTTTGCAATATGACTTATAATTATGGTTGTTATCTACGATAAAGTTAATAATTTCGCTAACTAAGCTGACGTAGTATAATCAACCTTGCTTGTGGTGAGAGGGTAGAACCAATTACGCAAGTTTGGCAAAATAAGAAAAAAAAAAGTAGTAATTTTTTTTGTATAAGTGAGCGCATACCCGTACTTTTATATAAAAAAAAAAAAAAAAAAAAACGCGCGGTTGAGACAATTTATATATAGAAAATTATTTCTAGACGTGCGCACACAATGACGTAAGAAAAATTCGTGTCTGCTTTTTTAATATTTTTTTTTTTTTTGGCTTTGACCTGTTAAGAGAAATAAGGAAAATAAGGAGACTTGTTGATTTTCGATACGGTACTACCGTCGCTAATGTCGATTTCACGGGAACGGGTCCAGTGCGATCGACGATTCGACCCGAAGGAATTGTATTGTGTCTCCTGACTCCGAAAGATCGCAAAAATGGATTTAAAAAAAAAAAAGACGGAGAATTTTTCTTACGTTTGTGAATTTTTCTAGTGGTAATAGCTGACGCACTTTCCATCGAGTTGAGTCCATCAATTTTTTTTTTTTTATATTACAAACAACTCGATGCAAACTGCCAATATATCGATGTAAGATCAATCAATATAACTATAAAATAATTTTCTCTATGCGTATATATATATATATATATATAACGAACAGATTATTATATTAAGTAAATAGTGGGACAATTTTCGGGCTCGAGGACGAACTTTCAAAAAGAAAAAAAAAAGTATTTGCATTTTGCGATTTCCGACGTCTTGGGGGTTTTTTTTGTGTGTTTCTTTCTACAATGTGCGTTTGTTGATATATCTTTTATCTTGCTCTTATTTTTATTTTTTTTTTATTTTTTTGGGTGGAATGTCTGTGAGAGTGTAGACGTCGAAACTCGTCCCCGAGCCTTGGATATGTGTGCGTCTGTCTCTCGTATACAAGCTCGAAAGTGTATAAGTTTTGCTCTGTACTTTTGACAATCGTAAACATCCTTATATATCTTTTCACATTTTATTCTTTATCAAATTGCAAAAGCATTTTCTCCGAAACTTGTCTACATTTATAATGACACGATTGTACAGAATGTACACGACAAACTGTACTTCTCACATCACCGCAACGACATCGCTTATTTATTTTTACGTCTACATTATTTTCTTGTATTCTCATTTTCTGTCTCTCATATCTCTCTCTCTCTCTCTTACTCATCACACACATTCTTTCTTCATCTTTCACTTTCATCTTTTTTTTTTTTTTCTCTCTCATTTTACGAGCTTAGTTTTACTACGAAATGCTATAAGTAATTTAACGACTATTTTTACAAACGATATTAAACTTAATGTTTTTTTTTACTATTATAAAAGTTCTGTCCCGTCAAACATCATCGTACTCAACAGTACCGTTACGTTGTACATAGAACATATGGTACAGAGAAATAAATTCATTTTCTAACGAATATGTCAAATGTCTTTTATTTATTTTCCCGTCATTTCTGTCAATGTTTATATATTATAGATAATTTATCAATCTAGAAATTATTGCACAAAATATTTTAGTTTTAATATTTTTTTTTAAAAATTACAATAAAAATGATTAATTTTCTATTTTATTTTTCGATGAAATTTCTTTTAAAAACACTGAAATGTTCAGTCAAGTTGAATTTAATTTTTTTTTTCAACTCTTTTTCAAGTTTAATTAAATTTTAAACGTTTATGAACGTCAAGTTGAACTGTAATGGAGAACTTATGATGCTCGTGATCTTTTAAGTCTTGCCAAGAACAGAGTTCGAAGGATTTACTTTTACAAACGACAAGTAATGTGAGCTCGATTTAACTTGGAACATTAACATTCACTCAAAGACCATATAATAAACTATATAGCAAAGAACAAGCAAGTTAAATTAATTATACAATTAAGTGAATGAAATAAAAAAAAAAGTAATATGCTAATGATACTCCTTTTAAAAAGATGTTAATTTCTCATTTTTAACATCAGTAAATTATAAGTAAATTATATAATTGAAAATTTAAAAAATTCTCAAAGCTCAGGCCAATTTGAAAATAATTAGAGAGATAAATTTATTTTATGAATTTTGTATCAAAAGTTTTTCTTTTTTTTTTTAATATAATAATAAGTTAAAAGAAGGAGTTGGAAAGTCTTTGCCTTCTTCACATTTATATTTGAAAGAGAAGAGTATTATATGAAAAAGTACTTTTAGTCACGCTATAGGAAACATGTTCTCTCGCACCCATAATGCTCCTTATAGTACTCTCCAACGGCAATAATGAATCCTTCCACGCAAATTATTTTTCCACTTGTATTATCGTAGAACAAATGACTAAGAAGCAACACTAAGAGTTTAACTAATGTTGGTTACCAAGTAACAAGCATTTCATCTTTCCTGACTGAAGTGGCACAGGTTAAAAGTGGAGAAGGTATAAAACGCTATTAGTAAAAGACAACTCTCATCACTTTTCTTAATTTAAGAGTAAACAGACATTAACTTTTAACTCCTTGTTTTGATGTTGTTATTATCATTCTTTAAATACAGAGAGAGAATTTTATATATCGTGCAAAAATGCATTCTTTATTCATTTTTATTGCTTCTTTTTATTTTTTATTACAATTTTTATCTATGTTCCGTTAAGCCATTCGATATAATGAATTTGCACGACTAAAGTTATGAGAGTTAAATTCAAAAAGAATTTATTTTTAATGCCATGTCTGTAACGTGACGATAGAAAAAAAAAATTAATTATCCATGAAAATAATTAAAAAAACATTTTTTCCAATTTTTTTTTTCTATATATTCTTCTTTAATGTTTTAATAAGATTCTTTCATTCATTCTATTTTCCAATAGGGACATTGACATATTTTATAGGGCTTTTTCGTGTTTATATGAACAAAAAATTTTTTTACGACATCATAAAACAATTTTATTCATTTGTAATTTAATGTACTGAAATGTCACTTTAAAACTGATTTATTTCACAGGGGGTTAAAGAAAAAAAAAAAAAAAAAATTTATTATGGAATTATTGCTTGCGACTGGAAATGATAATAAATTGCTGTGAGCAAACGATCAAAATTGTATAAATCAATAGTGATTGTAAAAGAAAACTGAACAGTTATTGTCGCAGATATATATTTATTTTTGCTAGAAATAAACTTCTTTTTTTTTTTTGATTAAAAATACATTATACCTAATCAACATTTAGAGTTTAATTGGGCGATGAAAAAAAAAATGATTTATTGGTATTATTTATTTTTTGCTAATTCATTTCTTACTTTGTTTCTATTACTTCACAGAAAATTAAAAGACATTAAAATAAGCTGCAACGCTTATTATTTTAATCCAATTTTGCTTATTTTAATCCATTTTGGTATTAAAAATAAGCAAAATTGGATTAAAATAATAAGCGTTGCAGCTTATTTTAATACCTTATAATTTTCTGTGTTTTTATTATTATTTAATTATTATAATAAGTTTTTCTTCTATTTTTGTAATATAATAAATTATTTTCTCTCGATTATTGAAATACTTTTTTGTTTTAATCGAAAAATAATTGTTATTTTTTTTCTTTTTTTTTAGTAAATTAATAATAGCAAAAAAGAGGAAATATTCAGAATTTCTTATTTTTAGTATCCTATTCATTGGAGGATGAGTTTCCTGAGATTTTATTGAGAATGTGTCGCCATCTTGAGATTTATGTTTTCTCGCTGGGATCCAACAAGGGTAGTTACTCAGACAGGGATCAAGTCACATGCATATTCCAAAGGTTTATGACGATACTAACCCGTTCGGAAGTATCCTATAGCATCGAGCTGAGCTTTGGTTATTATCGATCGAATCCAGTGAGGGAGCTCGCTGATTTGTTCACCAAGGCATAAGACCGAACACTAGTTGGCTGGCATAAAAGTCTTGATAGGTTTTCGTTATTTCCGTGATCTCATTCGAGGATATTCTGTATATATATATATATATATATATATATATATATATAAAATATATATATATAGAAAAAGAAACGAAGAGGTCATGTCAAAGACATAGCCATGTTGTCTTACGATGAATGCTCTTTTGCTGGATCAACTCTCTCTCTCTCTCTCTTTCTCTCTTTCGGTATAGTAAGATTCACAAGGGGGTTGGAGAGCGAACTTCCTGTATAGCGACTTCTGCACACCGAACATAAAATGGTACACAATCTCCTACCAAGATTCTCAGTCGAGGACCGTGCGAAGATTTCACGCTGACTTCTTCTAGACACGGTGACGCTGAACATTTTGTCGTGTGCATCCTAGCGTTAAGGCGCTGCGATGTCAAGCAGCGACAAAATCAGCAAACTGATATCATACAACCGTCAATTAAACTCGACAAAAATATTTTTTTTTTTCGTCTCTTATTTTTCTCTATCTTTTTATCATTTTAAAAAAATTAGATTTCATTTATTTATTTAAATAAATTGAAAATTGATTTTAAAACATTTTTAAGGTTATGTGATTTTGTATCTTAAGACCTTAAGGGCCTACCCTTAAATCATTGAATTAGAAAAAAAATTTATTAATCTGAAACTTTATTTATTTAAAAAGAACAAATTTTTTACATTTCTTTAAAGTATTTTAATTAATTAAAAAAAGAACAAATTTTTTAAATAACGCGAAGAAAAATTATTATTTTGATTTAAACAACCATTTTTTTTTTAACTTTCTTTTTATTGTGAAATTCTTGGCTTTCGTCGGGTTATAAATATTAAGTCAAAAAATAAAATAAAAAGTGTATCTGAATACGTTATATTGTATGCAAATTATTCTGTCGTGATAAATAAATTATCGTTTTGTGACTTTAAAAATTTACAATTCTAAAGTTTGAATTTTTGATGAAAGAGAAAAATATAATAATTATTAAATATTATACAATTTTTATTTTTCTCTTGTTTTAAAAGGAAGTTCATCAGGAAGCAAAAAAAAAAAAAAATACAAATGTAAAGTAGATCACGTTTCTGTGAACAAATTTATAAAAGTCAAATTTTCCCGTCAGTAAAAAAAAAATCATTATTTTAATAATTTTTTAAAAATAGAAAATACAATTAAAAAGTAAATTATTATTTTCGATTCTGAACTACTCTTTGTATAATTTATCATTAATTTAAAGATTTACAATCAAACGAGAGCAAAGAATAGAAGTGTAATGTATATAAAAAATTAACAAATCAACTGGAACAATTTTATATGACCTAATTTTTTGACATCGCTTTTTCTTAAAAATACATAGTCATGTAATGAATTACTAAAGCCGACGTATGTCTTAAAAATGTAAAATAATGGTTTTTTTTTTTTTAATAAACTTAAATAGCCATGAAGTCAATAGTTAATGAAGTTAATAATTATAAATGACTTTTGGTACATAATAAAGTTAAATTACAATCATCTTAATGTATGTTGAAGTTAAAATACAATAAACTTAATATATAATGTAGTTAATATATAATGAATTTAGTTCATAAAAATAAAATTTCTCCATCTTCTTAACATACTCGTTTAATTATTTTCTAATTATGAAAATATTTTAAATTACTAAAAATGAAATATTTCAAGCGCGCATGCAAATTAAAAACTTTCATATATAAAGTTTTTTATTTACAAACATTGAAAATTGTTATAGACTCCATAAGTAGAGAAGGAAGTAAACACACACACACACCTTAATTAGCAATTCATATTACGTAATGGATCATAACTTTATTTACCGTTAAAATAATTTTTGATATATTAATTTAATTTATAATTAATTCTTTGTTAAACTGTTATGCTTTAACATATCAATAAGAATATATCTATACAGAATGGGTCGAGATGATAATCTAAAACAACTTTATAAAAAAAAGTAATTGAATACACTATATTCTAATAATAGAGTTTTTATTTAGTTGTGTTTCAATTTGAAGATTATTAAGGTTGCACCACCAACGTTGTTGACGAGAAATTGAAGAGGAGAACCCTCTGGATAAATGATTAATGACATGACGCGTTAGACAGTCTCGCTTATCAAATCATTCACTGACAACGGTACGATCAAAAGAAATTGCCTTATTAGAAAAGATTTCCCGTAGGATTCAGGTTATCGACAAGAAGAAAAAGAAGAAGTTCATCTTTTTACCAAAGTATCGTGTGGTTGCCGTAACTTACAAATGCCCCAGGTGGCACGCCTATTATTTATCAAAAAGTAGAGGAGTCCCTTCACACCGACAGATTGCAGCCTAAGGGATATATCAATTAAAAAAAATTTCTATACCTGCATTTCTTTTTTGGCTATATAATTATTATAAATCTTTCTATAACAATTATATGACCCGATTTATAATAATCGTTCGAATATATATATATATAACAATATATGATTGCCTGTAGTCAATCAGATGTCTATTTTCCCATGGGACGAAATTGATTATTATTTTC